ATAGAAAATAGAAAACATATCAAATGTTAAAACTGAGAAAATGGACCATTTAAAAAAAAAAAAATTTAAATTGATGGCAGCAACATGTCTCAAAAAAGTTGGGACAGGGCCATGTTTATCACATTGTAGCTTCCCCTCTTCTTTTAACAACACTCTGTAGGAGTCTGGTAACTTAGGAGATCAATTGCTGGAGTTTTGGGAGACGAATGTCATCCCATTCTTGTCTGATATTGTCTGATATAGGATTTTGATTTTGACTGCTCAACAGTGCTGGGTCTTCTTTGTCGTGTCTTTCCTTTCAAGATGCACCAGAGATTTTCAGTTGGTCAAAAGTCTGGACTGCAAGCAGAGCTCCACCCAAAAGGGGAAGTTCCACTTTAAGGACTGCTCCCCTTCTCCCCATTAAGGATTGGCACCTTTGGGGGGCGGGGGGGAGCAGGCACCCAATCTTTGACAGGTACCCGCTCCCACTTCCGGTCCAATCGCCTAGGCGACCGGAAGCGGAAGGTGTCCTCCCTCCCTCCTTCCCTGTAGTCTTTTGGGACACGTGACAGGTCCCAAAAGACTACAGGACCATTCATGAAGCGCAGCGCTACTCACGCATGCACAGTGGGCAACTGGTGTGAAGCCTCAAGCTATCACAGACGGGTGCCCACACTGAAGATGCCGGCGCTTGGAACACAGGACGGCCAGTGAAACGGGCTGCAGGGGACGCACCGCGCGACCGAGGGACAGGTAAGTGGCTGTTTTTTAAAAGTCTTCAGCTACAGTTTTTGTAGCTGCTCACTTTTATTTTTTTACAGGATGAGTGGAACTCCACTTTAAGCACCCAAACTCTTCTACTACGAAGCCATGTTGTTGTCAAAGATGCAGTATGTGATTTAGCATTGTTCTGCTAAAATATACAAGGCCTTCCCTGAAAAAAACATTGTCTGGATGGGAGCATATGCTGCTCTAAAACCTGGATATATCTTTCAGCATTGATGGTGCCTTTCCAGATATCCAAGCTGCCTGTTCCACACGTACTAATGCACCCCCATACCATCAGAGATTCAGGCTTTTGAACTGAGCTCTAATAACAATCCAGAAAGTCTCTCTCCTCCTTAGTCCAGAGGGCTCAGCACCCATGGTTGCCAAAAAGAAGGTCAAATTTCAGTTTGTTTGACCACAGAACAGTTTTCCACTTTGCAACAGACCATTTCAAATGAGCTTTGGCTGAGGGAAGAAGGTGGCGTTTCTGGGTCATGTTCAGATATGGTTTCTTTCCATGATAGAGCTTTACTTTGTATTCCTGGAAGGCACAGCAACCTGTGTTCACAGACATTGATTTTTGGAAGTATTCCGGAGCCCATGCAGTGATGTCCATAACAGAATCATGCAGCTTTTAACGCACTGACGCCTGAGAGTCCGTAAATCACGGGTATCCAATATTGCGTTTCGGCCTTGTCCCTTGTGCCCAGAGATTTCTCCAGATTCTCAGAAACCATTGATGATGATATGTACTGTAGAGGATGATATATTTAAAGGACAAGTTCACCTTTGGAACATGTTACATGTTCCACCTGTTTTTAGGGTGGAGCATGTAACATGTTCCCATAGCCTTAGCCACCGATTACCAACCCCCACCCCACCTCGCTCTGACAGATAGTACGGGGAAAAGATTTGAAAACAGCATGGCTGTGCAGGGCTCCGTCCACACGACCACGTCACTTATTCACAGAGTTCTGTGAATGAGTGCCTACAAGTCCCAGCAGTCATAGTGGCTGTCAGCTTGTAGCTTTCAATGAACTATCATGGTGCTGTGAAGCTTCCTGTCAGAATATCTGCTTCACCATAAATCCCGTACATCCCGTACGGCAAGCAGATATTCTGACAGGTCTGCAGGAGACCTGCATGGCATCAGTGATCTACTGCTCACTGGTGCAATGCTTTACAGGCTCCTTTGGACAAACATAATAAATGCACATTTTTTTTACTTGCAAAAAAATGTGCACTTATTATTTTTGTCCAAAAAGTGAACTTATTCTTTAAAGTCTTTGCAAATTTACATTGAGGAACATTATTCTGAAATGCTTCGACAATTTTAGATACAGCTTTTCACAGATTAGTGAACCTCTACTCATCTTTACTTCTGAGACACTGTGGGGGGGATTTACTAAAGGTGGTTCACTCAAAATCTGGTGCAGCTGTGCATGGGAGCCAATCAGGATCTAACAACAGCTTGTTTAATTACGCTTTGGCAATAAAACCTGGAAGCTGATTGGTTTCTATGCAGAGCTGCACCAGATTGTGCACTCTCCAGTTTCAGTAAATAACTCCCCTCTGACTCTCTAAGATGCTCTTTTTTTTTATACCCAGTCTTGTTTCTGACCTTTTGTCAGTTAGCCTAATTAGTTGCAAATAGTTCTTCTAGCTCTTCCTTATTAGCACCACATACTTCACCAGCTTTTTGTTGCCCTGTCCCTACCATCAATTTCAAAATGACCTTATTTTATTCTTAAATTGATCCCTTTTCTCAGTTTAAACGTTTGATATGTTTTCTATTTTCTATTGTGAATAAAATCCGGGTTTATGAGATTTGCAATCATTGCATTCTGTTGTTTAGCAGATTTTACAGAGTATCCCAACTTTTTTGGAAGTGGGGCTGTATTTGCTTTTTTTTTCTACTTCCCTTTCCAGATGTCTTCAGGCTGGTCACCTAATGTCATAAGGTCCTCTTCACCCCTTATCTGATGTTTGCTTCCTCTTTGCTATACACTTACTAATCCTTCTTGCCTATTGCCCTATAGATCCGGAGCATTCTGCAAGAGAAGGCTAAAGAGGAGGGAGTCCCGGACAATCCGGAGAGCCTCTTTAACTTCTTGATTGAAAGAGTGCGGAACAATCTTCACATCGTTCTGTGTATGAGCCCGGTGGGAGACCCTTTCAGGTGAGAAGAGTTTACTCTAATGGTTGACATTTATCCCTCTTCATATATGATTGGAGATACACCGATAGTATTTGGTGTCCATCTCCTCTCATGCAATTGCCAGCTGTTGGGTGATATATACCTTCTCCTATATGTGATTGGGGACATAAATATTTCAAAAGGATTGTTGCATCTGCAAATGTTACCTATATATATCACAGGATTCTGCTTAATCTCTACATACAACACGTAAATAGTGTTCAACTCAATATACAGTATGACGGGAGCCACTTTGGGTGGGGGGCCCATGGAACCCAGCTCACTTTGGAGAGGTGGGGAGACCCCTGTCTCAGCTCCCCATATCCCTCTTATGTGTAAGTCACCCTGTGCCTGTTAGGGGTACAGGGTGATCTGTCCTAATATTGTGTAGACATGTATAGGTGGGGTGGGGGTTGTGGATTTTTTAATGCCATGTGGCTGCATCCCATTGTTCTATTGTGTGTCTGGCTTGGGAGAAAACTATTATGGGATGTATGTGTTTATGTGTATTAGCTTAATGAGGGGGTGTCTCCAGCAGCCCTCCCTCCTGATGGAACTGTCTGCTGCTGTGAAGTTTGAATACCTGTGTGTCTCTTGTTACTAAATGTAGATTGCCCCGCCCTGTGTCATTATGCAGGAAGGGGGGACTGTCCCCTGAGTGTATATATATATATCTTGTATCTGTGTTCAAATAAACTAGTTTTTACCTTCTGGCTTACTTCAAGACTGGTGTTGTCTAGTCTTGTATGGTCTGCTGTTGTGTTTGTTGTCGGTGTTCGGACAGGGAAGCGGTAGTCTAAAGGAAATACCCAAGTGCAGTCTGGGGTCGGTTCCGTTACATACAGTATATGCCATTGGAGACTTGGGATCTATTTCTAAAAAAGATTGCAGTACAAATGTTTCAGCATTCCCACAAAAGTCTCAGATGATACCCATCATGATTGTAATGTGTGAAATATCCGTTTCTACATGTTGCCTTTCACAGGGCACATGTAACATTTCCTAACTTTCAATTCCAAGAGAAAATAGCCTTAAGAACAATCGACCAACAGAGAAAATAACCAGCACTATAGGCTCACAACATTGGACAGCCATGATACTTTGACTGACAGTTACTCCGTCTTGCAGCACTATACCCAAAGGGAATTTTAGACCATTTTCTTTGAGCTTTCTGATTGGCTCTGTACACAACTGTGGTCTGGGTTGCCAAGTGACAGTTTATTCACAGCCAATCACAGATGCACTGACCACCCATGTGTGTTTTCTGCAGTCCACCTCTCCTCCTTTTTTTTAATTTTTTTTTTATTTTGCGATACTGACGTCATTAAGTGAGCAGAAGGCGTTTTAATGACTACTGAAGCTCTTTTAAAATATCTGGGACATTTTCTTTTGCCAAGAATTGACTCCTTGTTAGCTACATTTTTTTACGTTTTCTTCACAGGAAGTAAAAACAGACAGCAAAAAAAAAAAAAAAAAGGATTAACAATAATGATAAAATGCACAAAACGTTCTGTTTATGTGACTACACACATTACAAACTGATTGTACAATCTCCTTTAGATCTACCAACATTTACAGTATATAGTGCAAGGGCCCCCCTGATTGGATGCACATTGAACAGATGGTTTAGGTTTTTTCCCTATTACATAATTTTGGTAAATCTAAAGGAGATTGTGCGGAGATTGCAGAGCAGTTTTGGTACAAAGTCCGTTAGCATCCAAGACGAAAAAGCCAAAGAGCCCCTCCCCCCTTCCACCGTAGAGCCTTCTGCCTTTCCCTCACCCCAGATTGCAACTTGTAGGGTAAGCTTTAGATGTGGCATGAGGTTTGCTTGATGGGTGTGAATGAAATTGATTGTTCTGGTAGGTTGTCATCCTTCATGGAGAGGACAGTGTAGAGATTAAACAGTCGGATTGTAACACCCGTGGACAGTTTTAGCCAATAAAATAAATCAGGGATATATTTCCGGAACCTTGGAGTAGCTTTAGATATTTAGCATGTGTGACTTGATGCCTCTCAATGTGAAGATGGCAATATTTGTTTCTTCTTCTGCTGCAGGAACCGCATCCGCCAATATCCAGCACTGGTCAACTGCACCACCATAGACTGGTTCTCCGAGTGGCCGCAGGAAGCTCTGCTGGAGGTGGCCAAAAGATATCTGGAAGGGGTGGAGCTAGGAAACATGGAGGGGGTGAGTTGGACTTCTAGTCTGAGAGTGGCTCTAGCTGTTGGTGAGTTATGCTCTTGTGTATTCACTCCCAAATTTCCCTCCTGTATCCCCTCCCACAGATCAACGGAAAGGTGGCCAGGATCTTTGTCACCATGCACCGCTCGGTAGCGGAGTACTCCCACAAGATGAAGATGGAGCTGAGGAGACATAACTACATCACCCCCACCAGTTACCTGGAAGTCGTGTCCCGGTACAAGAGGTAGGTCTGTCCTTTATTTACCTCACTTATTTCTGGACTTGTCACAGACCTTTTCTCTTGTCTTAGATTTGTTATATCAGTTAATTTCTCAAGGAGCCATATGGAAAAAGTGTATCTAAATCCAAAAATGAAAAACCTAAACTCCGACCTTCCCTTCAGTCATGCACATTGTACAGGTTCCTCTCCTGTTCTTAAATTGTTTACTCTGATCTCACTGCACACTGTGAGCTGCTTAAAATGTGCATTAGAGACTGCAGGAAATCAGATAGAGCCCGCCTCATTTCCTGCCTGGAGGACGTCCAACAAACTTTACAGACAAAGGGCTGGTTTGCTGTCCTTCAGATTTTAGAGGGGCCGCACTGTGGCCGGTGGGAGTAAAGAATGTATCAGCATCAGTGGGAGTGAACAATGCCCTAATTTCAATATTGGAGAAATTAGGCCTCATCATTGGTCTCATCAAGGGCCACATAAAGGCAAGCAAAGGGCCACATCTGGCCCTGGGCCGCAGTTTGGAGACCATTGATCTAGTCCATTCCTCCCTAGCCTGACTGTCCCTGGCCCACCCTTTCATTTATTGGGTTTCAATCATGGAGGCTCAGTATCTCATCTGCATCTAAATACAGCTTGCCTTGGAACACCCACTCCTTCAGACTGACATCCATCCATCAAGGCATTTTGTACAGCACCCTGCTGGCCCTTCCCACCAGCCATGATTTGTCTACACGGCATAGGGAAGCACACAGACTCATCAACGACATCACTGGATCTAAAATAAGCCCTGGTTCACGCTGAATGCGGCTTGTAAATCGCGCTGTTTCAACTGACGTAGTGCAATTTCAAAGCCGCCGGTCAGTGCGATTTCATGTTCGGCTTGCTGACATCTGTGTGACTTCATGCACAGATGTCAATGCAAGTCAAAATGAAATCGCCATGTGTTCAAAATCGGTGAAAGTTGGAGTCACACCGATTTTGAGCGGTTCTATAGGCACAAATAGGCTGCGACTTTTTTTTTGAACTGTCAAATTTGATGACAAATTCCATTGGTGTGAATGGAGGCTTAGGTATGTCATGAAAACAGAAAAGTTTTATTTAAAAATGTAATTAAAATATTGATGAGAGGAGGAGTAAGAACCATGGAGGGCAAAATATAACCAGATTAAACTGATTCGTTCAACTTTTGGACAAAAAATAAGAATTATTCTTCATGAGCATTATTGTATGTGTCTCCTTTTTCCCCCAAAGCCTCCTGAACGAGAAGCGGACAGAGTTGGGAGAGAAGGCCACCAAGCTGCGGAATGGACTCTTCAAGATTGACGAGACTCGGGAGAAGGTGGAGAAGATGTCTGAAGAGCTGGCCATCGCCAGGAGCCAAGTGGCCGAGTTTCAGAAGCAGTGCGAGGAGTACCTGGTCATCATCGTCCAGCAGAGGAGAGAGGCCGACGAGCAGCAGAAGGTCAGTCTAGATTTTTAAAATCTTTTTAAAAAGTTCAGTTTTCCTTTAACAATTATGTCCAACAATTCTCTAAATTTCTTTCTATCAGGCAGTCACAGCCCACAGCGAGAAGATCGCAGCGGAGGAGATAAAGTGTAAGGCTCTGGCAGACAATGCACAGAAAGATCTGGAGGAGGCCCTTCCTGCTCTGGAGGAGGCTATGAAGGTGAGGTCCAACTTTGCTTCTTCTTTGCATTGGTAATGGTTTGTTACATTATGCTGCCACTTTAAAGGGTCATTCCACCTAAAAGTGATATTTAGGTCATGGCTAGTATCTGATGTGCTAATTCCTTAAAGGCCTCCAGTGGCAAGTACTTCAAGCCATAGTTTCTGGATCGGTTCCCACCTTGAAAATACGGGTGTTCCCAAACGTTCAGTTACATATACTCCAACAGTGAAACCTGCCTGCTATAATTCCCTACTGTATTTCTGCCCACCTAGTAGTTTTGTGTTTTCCCATCCACATTTATATTTTAACTTCTCTCCATGATATAAAATAAATAAAAATCCCATCAAGAATAATAGGGACACCTCATAATGAGCACAGCAGGTTTAAAGAGCTAGGAACTCAGCACAAGATCTCACTCTTTATATTTTCAGCAGGTCATAGCGCATATGTTCTGTATTGGCAACACTGTTGTCTGAGCTGCACAAATATTGGCCGTAATTTCTGTAATAGATTAATTTCTTTGATTGTCAACTCCATCTAGAGAGGCCAAAATGCAGTATATTTTCCTAAGTGAGGTTTTTCAAAAAACTATACCACATTTTGGCTGAAAAATCATAGGAATTAAACTATTACAGAAATTATGGCCAAAAATGTGCAGCCAGCATAAATGTGTATGACATTTCTTCAACAAATGTGTTATGAACAGACCCCTAAGGTTTTACCTTCCAACAATGATTCTAGTGTCTATTCCTGCTCTTGTTGAATAGAATCTACACAATCCACAGATCCTGCAGCTTTTCCAGTATTAGCTTAGAAGGTGTATTGAGGGACTGGTAAAAAGAGTGTGAAAATATGGTGGGAATAAAGAGAGAAGGTATTCTGAGCCATGGAGAAAGCCACATCCATCTAACCACAGTTCCAGTATCCTCTTGCCCTGGTTGATCAGAATATACATCATCCATAGATCCTGCAGCATATGCAGTATTGAACAACCAAGTCTTCAGAGAAAAATAACAATACAATATGGTTAGAACAAAAACAGAGACATTCTAGACTTGAGAACAAAGAGATAAGACATCCATGGGGAAAGCCACAGCCATTTAACCACATTTTCAGTGTTTCCTCATGCCATGGTTGATCAGAATACACATAATCCATAGATTCCTGTAGGTATAGGCTACAAAGTCTTCTGAGAAAGACAAAAAAATTGTCAGAAAATGCTGAGAACAAAGAGAGTAGACATTCTAGTCCATGGGGAAAGCCACAGCCATTTAACCACCGTTCCAGTGTTTCCTCATGCCGTGGTTGATCAGAATACACATAATCCATAGATTCCTGTAGGTATAGGCTACAAAGTCTTCTGAGAAAGACAAAAAAATTGTCAGAAAATGCTGAGAACAAAGAGTAGACATTCTAGTCCATGGGGAAAGCCACATTTAACTTCCAGGCCTCATGCCGTGGTTGATCAGAAATCCACAACCTGTAGGTATAGGCTACAAAGTCTTCTGAGAAAGACAAAACAATAGTGCTGACAAAGAGAGTTAGGCTTTTTAATCATAGTTACCCCCTGGTTGACCATACTCTATACACTGCAGACATGTCCAATCTATTTCTCTACCCCTCAGCTCACCCCACCAGTCTCCTCACGTACCACTGATTTACTAACAGACATATCAGTCTGGATGTCACAGCACTTCCTCAAACTCAGTCTATCCAAAACCAAGCTTTTGATATTTCACACATACCCCTTCCCCTGACTTCTCTGTCAAGATGAATGGCACATCCATAAACCCGTCTCCCCACGCCAGGGTGCTAGATGTAATCCTGGACTCTGAACTATCCTTTCAGGCACGCATCCAATCCCTGTCCCAATCATGTCTCCACAACATCTCCAGAACACTCCTCTTTTTAACCAATGATGCCTCAAAGTTTCAGATTCACTCCCTGGTCATCTCTTCAACTACTGCAACTCCCTCCTCATTGGATTACCTTTACATAGGCTATCCCCCCTCCAATCCATCAAAAATGATGCAGCCAGATTCCACCTTACCTTTCAGTGTCTGCCACCCCTCTCTGCCAATTCCTCAACTGGCTTCTCTTCACCCATCAGATTAAATTCAAAGTCTGCCCCCCAGCTACATCACTAACCTGATCTCAAAATATCAACCAAACTGCTGCTCTCTTCGGTCCTCCAAGGACCTCCTGCTCTGTAGCTTCCTTGTCACCTCCTCCCATTGTGTCCTCCAGGACTTCTCCCGAGCTTCTCCCAACCTGTGGAACTCTCTACTCCAATCTGCCCGACTATTTCCTAATCTACCCATCTTTAGATGATCTCTGAAAGTCCTTCTCTTTAAAGAAGCCTATCCTGCTTCTAACGAATACACTTTGTCCATCAGCTCATCCCCCACAGTTATTACCTTTTGTATCACTTGACCCTCCCTCTTAGGTTGTAACATCTACCTCTGATTTCTCTTGTACCAGATTGTATTGTAACTGTAATGTCTGCCTTCATTTTGTAAGGCTCTGCGCAAATTGTTGGCGCTATATAAATCCTGTATAATAATAATAATGTTCAGAGCATTCACTAAAGGGCTATAAGAATAATGCCAAATCTTTTTTACTGTTAACTACATTTTTCCTTTATAAAGTTGTATCTGAGATCTCTCCATTCCTTTCCTGCTAGGCCCTGGAGACATTGAACAAGAAGGACTTGACAGAAATCAGAGCCTATGGACGGCCACCACCCTTGGTGGAGACTGTCATGCAGGCCGTAATGACCCTGAGAGGGAACGAACCCACCTGGGCCGAGGCTAAGAGGCAACTAGGTAAGGCTGGAATAGGGCAGAGTAGCTGGCAGAGACCAGAGAGACATTCTGTGGATGGAGCACCAGGTCGGAGGTTCAGTACCAGGGACAGTTTGTGAAAATAATACAGTACATCTCCTGGGGAATATTATTAATATGGAAGACTGTAGTGTATTACTGTGTTTTCATCAATCCAAGTGAAGAATGTGAAAATCGAACATCAATAGGACTACAGTAGTGAAACGGTGTAGCTTAAACAGAGTTTTAGTTTCTATCTATATATCTTTCTATCTAGCATTTGTAATCCTGTCCAGCCAGTCCTTTGGCTTACACTTTGTAATATGTCAGAGCTACAGTGGGGCAAAAAAGTATTTAGTCAGCCACCAATTGTGCAAGTTCTACTTAAAAAGATGAGAGAGGCCAGTAATTGGCATCATAGGTAGACCTCAACTATGAGAGACAAAATGAGAAAACAAATCCAGACAATCACATTGGCTGATTTGGAAAGAATTTATTTGCAAATTATGGTGGAAAATAAGTATTTGGTCACCTACAAACAAGCAAGATTTCTGGCTCTCACAGACCTGTACCTTCTTCTTTAAGAGGCTCCTCTGTCCTGCACTCATTCCCTGTATCAATGGCACCTGTTTGAACTTGTTATCAGTATAAAAGACACCTGTCCACAACCTAAAAACAGTCACACTCCAAACTCCACTATGGTGAAGACCAAAGAGCTGTCAAAGGACACCAGAAACAAAATTGTAGACCTGCACCAGGCTGGGAAGACTGAATCTGCAATTGGGAAGCAGCTAGGTGTGAACAAATCAACTGTGGGAGCAATAATTAGAAAATGGAAGACATACAAGACCACTGATAATCTCCCTCGATCTGGGGCTCCACACAAGATCTTACCCCATGGGGTCAAAATGATCTCAAGAACGGTGAGCAAAAATCCCAGGACCACATGGGGGGACCTAGTGAATGACCTGCAGAGAGCTGGGACCAACGTAACAAAGGATACCATCAGTAACACACTACGCCGCCAGGGACTCAGATCCTGCAGTGCCAGACGTGTCCCCCTGCTTAAGCCAGTACATGTCCGGGCCCCTCTGAAGTTTGCTAGAGAGCATTTGGATGATCCAGAAGAGGATTGGGAGAATGTCATATGGTCAGATGAAACCAAAATAGAACTGTTTGGTAGAAACACAATATATAACAAAGTATTGAGATGAACTTTTCATATTGACCAAATACTTATTTTCCACCATAATTTGCAAATAAATTCTTTCCAAATCAGCCAATGTGATTGTCTGGATTTTTTTTCTCATTTTGTCTCTCATAGTTGAGGTCTACCTATGATGCCAATTACAGGCCTCTCTCATCTTTTTAAGTGGGAGAACTTGCACAATTGGTGGCTGACTAAATACTTTTTTGCCCCACTGTATATAAATGCTTAATAATAATGTGTGACTGTGGGGGGACATTAGAGTGTAAGCTCCGCTGGTGCAGAGATAATATCCTATTTCTGAACCACGTCATCAAGTCATTCACTTATTTTTTTTCCCATCAAGTAGATACACATCCTAGACATTGTAGAGTTTTAGTTGGCTTCCACACAAGTTTTTAAATGTATAATATTAACAGTGTGTAACTGTAATGGGGGCCATTAGGGTGTAAGCTCCTCTGGCTCAGAGACTGATGTGACCGGCTCATTGTTCTCTGTATAGCGCTGCGGTATATGTCAGAGCTATATAAATGTATAATAATAATAGTGTGTGACTGTGGGGGGACATTAGAGTGTAAGCTCCTTTGGGGCAGAGACTGATGTGACTGGCTCATTGTTCTCTGTACAGCACTCTGGTATACACCAGAGGTATACAAATGTATGAAAGTAATGATAGTTTGTGACTGTGGGGGAACATTAGAGTGTAAGCTCCTCTGGTGCAGAGACAATATCCTATTTCTGAACCACTGTACATGGACCTTCCACAGTGTTTGATTTTTGTGGCTCTTTCATTTTCCAGGTGAGCCCAACTTCATCAAACAGCTCATTAACTTTGACAAGGACAACATCTCTGAGCGGGTCCTGAAAAAGACTGGCCAGTACTG